AAGTCTGAATCTTCTGGAGTCCCCTGGGCCTAGTAAAAACAGCTGAGAGACTCTAGCTTACCATTTCCATTAATGAGCCCCCAGCCCCCACCCCTACTCTGTGACTTTGTCACCTTCCCAGAATCATACTGGGATCTGGTTTTTGTTTGTTTGTTCTTGGTGAGACTAGGGTTTCAACTCAAAGTAGGCGCTCTATTGCTTGAGCTATGCCTCTGGTCCTCGTACTGGAATCGGGAGATAGTCCCTCCTCTTCACTGTCACTGTTACTCTGCACCCTGCAAGCAGGCCTGGCCCATGATTCAAAGTGATGGGACAAGGACAACTCTGGATTGGGGGCATTTCTATGATAACCTTCATGAGGCCTAGGCAGGGTAGCATTGGCCAAGGAGGCCCCTTGGGATTGCCTGAGACCCAGAGTTGGAGAGGTTATAGTTGGAAGGACTCTGCTCACCTCCCACATCTTTAGCCTCTTCATCTTCTTCCCAAAGACTCAGATTTCCAGCTGTACACATACACACTCACTCACACACACACACACACACACACAACCCATTCCTGGGCCTCCTGGCAGGGCAGCTACATGTCTGACAGAACAATCCTCTCCCAGTCTTTCCTCTAGCAGTTGCGGGCTTTGGGCACGTTGTTCCAGCTTTCTGAGTCTCAGTCTCCCCATCTGGGGGATGGACATAACCAGGGGTTCTGAGGTCAAGGTGGTAATGCAGGTGAGTGGACTGGCCTGGACCACTAGCCTGGAGAGATGTCCCACACACACACTAAAGCTGAACTATAGGGAGGTAGGAAGGTGGCCAGTGATGGTCCTCAAGGAGCTGGTATTCCATGTGAGTGGGAATAGCCTGAGCCAGTGGCACGGTCCAGAGCTGGCATGGGGAGGCCCTGGGAAGGTCTGACTAGGAGAAAAGCATGGTGAAGACAGCATAATGAAACCCACCACACACTGTTTGAAAAAAGGAGAGAAGAGGAGGAGGATGGAAATAAAATGGAGGGGGTGAACTTGTTCAAGGTACACTATGCATGTATGGAATTATTACAATGAAATGCTGTCGTATTATTAGTGTATGCTAATTCAATAATAACAATAATAATAATAACATGGAATGATAGCAAGGCAACAGGTGCAAAGCAGAGAGGAGAGGCACTTAGCCTGGGGCACTGTGAGAAAACTAGCCAGAAAGAGCCTATGGCTATGGCACCTGAGCTCCATGCTAGTATGAAAGGAAGGAACAGCAGCTACCATGGTGCCTGAGGGAGCCCTCTCTGCCCGCCAGAGGCCGCCCCTCTCCCACTGGTTCTCCCACTAGCCTCTAAAAAGGATTCTATTATCTCAGTTGGAGAAACTGAGGCAAGGTCTTCCCAATACAAGGGTCAGCTCTGGAGGCCAAATTTGACCATACGGGCTCACACCTGACACCAGCATGTCTCCAAACCACCTCCTCCCAGGAGCTGGCAATGTCCACCCATACACACACGAGGTGTACATATGAGGGGAAAAGAGAATACTGTTGGTCGGAGGGCTCACTCCACTTGTGGGGCCTGCTTCACTCTGGGGTCAGTTTCTTCTTGAGGACATGTGTGATCAGCAATCTGGTCAAGGATAAGATCTGCCCTTCAACTATAAGGGGACTCATTTTAAAATGGGCTTCCTCCCTTCTTGGAGGTTAGCTTGACAGCTGGCCAGGATGAGGTGCCCAAAAAAGGTGAGGTCCAGAGAGGGACAGCAACTAAAGGGTCTCACCCTAAATCCTCAACACCAGGAGGGTTTGTGAGCACCTGGCAGCACTGCATTCCAGTGACAGCAGTGGTAGCAGGCTGCAAAGCCTCGCCCCTCCCTCCTGCAAAAGCTGCGGCAGGTTGTTGAGAAGATGGGGAGCCCACACTTGTAATGTTGCCTCCCTCCAACAGGGGGAGCCACAAGGAGGTAGAGACAGGGGCTCAGAGGCCTAGACAGACACACGTCACCCACCATTAACCATAGCTAGATGGACGCATGCCCTGTTGTGGGCACCACTCCCTGTGTGTCCACTCAGGAGAAGAGCACATACATATGCCAGCTGTTGTTAATTTGCTAGGGGTCCAAACCCCTCAGGCCCTTCACTGCTCCCCAACCACCCTAGACGAAGGGAGGCACTGGCCCACACCATCAATGGAGCAGAGCTGGGCTAAAGGAGGTGCAGCTAGGCAGATGGCTCAACAGGGTGTGCCACCCAGTGCTCAGCCAGGACTCCACAGAACAGGGTACGGGGACCCAACAGAGAGGACAAAAGAGGCAGGCAGGTGAGGGTGAGCAAAGACTGATGTGAGAGATAGACAGGAGATGGACAAAAAAAAAAAAGAGAGAGAGAGAGAGAGAGATCCAAAGGGAGAACAGGGAAAGGGGGAGGATAAGATACAGGCAGAAAGCAGTGAGGGCTGCGGACTGAGGCAGCCCAAGCCTGGTCTGATTGCTGGGGTGGGCATAATTGGAAACAAGAGGAACCAGGTGAAAGGGAGTATGCTCTGACCCCATCCCCCCATGTGTACACGACACACATGTGACCTCCTCCTTGTCTGAAACCTTGATCAAGGCTAGGTGGGGTTAAGGAAGGCACCCCTCCCCTTAAAACTAAAATCCTATTCTCCCTCCAGTGCATCTCCTTTGCCCTTCTCAATCTGATGGCAGCCTTGGTCCATTTCACCTGGCGGGCAGACAGCCATTCTGCCAGGGGGATTACAGAAATACGGCCACAGGACACTGAGCCTGCACTTGCATAAAACCCAGCAGCTGGAGAAGATGGACCCCTTCCCACTTAATGAGGAAATTACTGGACCATCAAGGACCACCTCCCCCCAACTGAGGGATTGTCACTCCAGTGCCACAAGCCTAATAGTCCCAATATCCACCTTGGAAATCCACCTGTATCAGTGTCCTTCTGGTCTGGATACTCCGGCTCAGGAGAAGGTTCAGGGATGCCAATCACCTCTGATCAGCCCCATGGAGCCCCCTGGCCTCAGCAGCAGCTTCAGCCTTTTATGTCAATTCAACAAAAGCGCCAAATCCTCCAGCTACGGTCATAGGGAGGGGACCTCAAGATTCTCTTTCCCCCTTCCAAGGATCAATAGGCATCTGCATCTGCGGGACCAGGGCAGTCAAAGGGCGCTGGCTGTCACAGCAAACCTTCTGCGATGTCACACCATTAGTCACTTCCCCCTGGACCCTCAGAGTTCCACAGCCCCTGCCCCACCCCCACTCTCACTCCCTCATTATGGTTTGCAAGATATGTTCCAAATCCTCGAAATAACTCCAACTATATGAACAAGAGAAGAGTGTCTAGCTGGAAATGTCTGCTGCGGTCACATCCACCTCACCATCTTCTAGCTGGGAACAGAGGGACAGGTGTCCCCTCTGGTCATGGTCTCACACACTGGCCTCCTAAAAGAGACCCATTCAGGCCCAGCAGCCACTGCAGATTGCAGGGAAGGGGAAAGAGGTCGGGAGAGGTGGAAAGAGACGTCTGCTTAAACCTTTACTTGCGGAGCTATGAACGGCTAGGAAAAAAATAATTGTGGCTTGGCTTGTGCTTGGCTTTGAGGGAGAAAGAACAACAACAAAAAATAATGCTTTCACTCTTTTTACACTATGGCTTAAATCCATTTTCATCACAGCAGATGGAAGACAATAAGGCCCCACCAGCACTGAACTTCCATATGATTCTCTTCTCCCTGCACACCCCCCCACATATACACAGGCAAAATCCAGACAGAGGACACGTCCATGCGGCACCTGTAATTTGCCAACTGATCACCTGCTTGAGCACAGCGAGGAGAGAGACAAAACGGAGAGAGACTCGGAGCAGTGCCTCTCCTGAGTTTGTTTTTTTATCATCTGGGAGAACCTACAAGCTGGACCAGTCAGGTTCTGTTCTGTGGAACCAGGGGCCCCTACCCAAGGGCAGAACTGCTCTAATGACGCAGAGCTTGCCTCTCCCCTTCCCTGAGGCCAGACCCTTCCCCTTGACCACCAGAAGAAGGGCTTCTCATGCCCAAACCCTAGGCCAGGACACTGAAGGAGTCCAGGGACAGGTGGACCCTCAGAGCTGGGGACAGAAAACAGAAGCAGGGTAGTCACCATGACCCAGAGGTGTCTGAGCACTGCCAAATGGTTGGGGCATGGTGTCAGAAAACAGATGCTGTCCTAAAGGCCACATGCACCGAATCCCCACTCCCAACCCTGACACATCTGGCCGACTTTGTGGGTTCAAGGAGGCTTGAATGGACTCTGAGCACCAACAGAAGCTGGCAGAGCAGGGAAATGCTATCACCCTGTTGGCAACAGAGGCGGCAGCACGGCAGGGGCAGGCAGGGGTTCTCCCAGCCAGTCACCTTCTGTCTTGACCCCAGTACCTTCATCTCCCAACTGTGCTTTCTGGGGATACCCCTCAGGTAGAGGGGTGACCAAAAACAAGTGACACTGACCACAGCAAGAAGGTGCTCACATCCTCTGCATTCAGCATTCCCCCCCCCCCCACAATGGAAAAGGCCCAAGAAGACAGGTGTGGAGGCGCTTCCCACCTCTGACTTGAAAGCGCCAGGTTTCTACCAGGGAGAGAACGCGGGGTAGATGCGTGGCTACCTGGCTCCAACTCTCCCAGGGAGAGGTCACTGGACGCCCTCTCACCCAACCCGGGTTCCTCTTTCCCCGGGACAGTGACCCAGGAATCCGCAGAGAGAGTCGGACCCCCGCCCCAACCGAGGGCTTGGAGATCTTGCCCTGTCCCATTTGGGGTAAGCAGGAGCACCGCAGGGAAGTTTCGCGACGCAGCCAGAAGCTCTGGGACCGTGACTGCCAGTCCTCGGGGTTTGTGGCCGTTAACCGAGGGCGCAGCGTGCTGCCGGACCCAGCGCCCTCACCCCGGTGCGAGACTCGGGGAGGGACCGGCGCGGAGTGAGGGGCGAAGGGGAGCGCAAGGCTCGGCGGGGTCCCGCGGCCGGCAGAGGCCACTTACGTGTGCTGCTGAGGGAAGCTGTAGGCAGAGGCGCCGGGGGCGGCGAGCAGCGGTAGAAGCAGCAGCGGCGGCAGCAGCAGCAACCGCGGGCGCAAGGGCCCGGACTCCGGGCGCCGGGGGCCGGGGCAGGGCCGGGGGCCGCGGCCCGGCCAGGGGCGCGCGATCCGCGCCGGGCCGGGCCGAAAGGCGCCGCAGGTCCGAGCCGGCACCGCCATGTTTCCATTCAAGATGCGGCGCCGCGGGGAGGGGGGGCAGCGGCGGCGGGATGGGGGGGGCGCGGGCGGCGGGCTGCGGGCGGCAATCCGGCCTCTCTTCCTCCGCCGCCTTCTCCGCGCGAGGCCTCCGGGGCTGCACCGGCCGCGGCGCCTCTGCGGGCAGCGCGCTGCGACCTCCCAGCAGCGCTGGCTCCAAGCGCTCTGAGCGCCGGGTCCCGGACCTGCGCTCAAATAGCGGCCGCCGCCAACCTGCCGGCGCCGCCCTCCCCTCTCCCTCCCTCCCTCCCTTCTCGGCCGGCCCGCCCCCGCGCGGCCTCGCCGCGGCCACGCGCTCGCCTGTGCCGGCGCGCCCCTCGTCCCCGCGCAGCCCCGAGCCTGCCCTACTGGCCCGCGCAACCAAGTGGAGTCCGTGCGCGCGCGTCCTGCGCCCCAGCGGCGGTCCGAGCTGCCACAGTGCGTCCCCGCCCCCACACCTCAGACTGCGGGTCTTCTCTCCGCCCGACGGGAGGAAAGACTTCCCCTCCGAAACCCCAGCAAGGCGCGTATGTGACCCTTCTGGGGGTTCGACCTTCAACAGGCTTAAGGCCTGGAGTCACAGGTTTAACAAGAGGCTTCAGCAGAATGAGAGAGGAGGTTGGCAAGTGTTGTCACACCCCCAGTGACTCCAGCTACCTCAAGGTTTCTTTCTTTCGGGGGTTTGCACATCCAAACGCTGACAGAAAGAAAGGTTCTGGGCCTCCTATTTCCCTGGACCGGAACCTGGGTCCAGGTGCCCAGTTGTGAGGAACTGAGGATGGCAGGATGCAGCCACCCGTTGCTTCACTTCACTGTGCTGCGCAGGCATTGTGTGCAGGGGAGCGTCAAGCCTCACCTCCCTAGGTTTGCACGGCCTCTAGTCAGACTACCCTGTGCCAGGCAGTTCATCCTAGCACAACCCAGTCACTTCTGCCTTGAGGCCCCTAGAGGCTCTTCCCTGCTGTGAAAAGGCTGAGACTGGTGTCAGTTTCAATTCTTCAGCTTGTGGACTGGCCTCTCAGAGCCTCAGTTTCCTCCCTTGTGAATGCTTGTGAGGATGCTCAGCACTTTTTCCTGGATGAAATAAGAATGGAGTGATCATGTGCCAGACAAAAACACAGTCGTGGGATAGGATCCTACTAAAGTTGTCTAGAGTCTCACTCTGGCCCTGGTACATATAGGATGGGAGAATGCTCAGGGCTGGACCCCCTTAGCAGTAGCTGCCCACAGACTGTCTAACATGGAGAGTGAGGGACAGGAATGGCTGGGCAGCTTAGTTCAGAGATGGCCAGAAGCTTCATGTCTGGATGGGTCTATCAAACAGGTCAGTCTAAGGAGAGTTTGTAGTTGAAGTGGAAGAACAATGATCCCTGGACCGAGGAACACAGAGGTGTGAGGGAGGGGCTAGAAATAGGGCTCAGTTCAATCTTTACTTGATCCCCAGTCCTGCTGTAACTCCCCAACCTTACCCACCCCTACATGCTAGAGCTTGACAAGGGGACAACTTCTTTCATTTCTTGGCCCTTCCTCCTCCACTGACAAAAGTGAATCTTCCAGGGCCAAACTGAGTATTGACAACAGGCCCCAAACCATGAGGTCCCAAAAATATTATCAGAGAAAGTCAGTGCAGGGGCCAGAGGCCCTGGGCTCAAACCCCTGGGATAGTCCTGGAGCCTAGTACACAGGAAGGACTTTGGGAAACCAAGTCAGACCAGCCCAATAAGGAGACAAACAGGGTCTTCACTAAGCCAGGGGCCTGATTGTGCCAGATGCCCCTCCCCCCCTACCTCCCCTACCCCGGCAGGGCAGTCACTCCACCAGGATGGACAGAATTTGAGGGTCCTGTAAAGAAAAGTCACTAAACTGGGGCTAACCAGCCCTGTCCCTGATATCTGTCTACAACATCTCTGTCCCCCCATATTCAGGCAGAATTGCCCTGAAGTGACCACTCCTACTTGTTTGCTGAACAAATACCTGTGCTTATAGCCCTAAGGGACCAGAACAAAAGGTATAACTCCTCCTGGGTACCCTGTGAGGGTGGACGCCTTCCCAAGGCAGGCCCTGCAGTCTCCTGAGACATGTCAGGGACAACCTGCTTGCCCTTCGACACCATGATGGCAGTACTATCCTTGGAGAGGGCCTGAACCATCAGAAACCTGGGTACAGTAGAGGACGCTGGTGGCTGGGCATTTTAGTTCCAGCCTGCGCAGATATGCACCTATTTGAGGCTGCTGGCGCTGAGGGAAAGGCGGGAGTTTTTAGTTGACAGGCCATTAAAGGAAGACAAATAAGGAGGGGAGGTAATTAAGAGTAAATGGGTAGTAAGAGTTTACACATTCCAACTTTGGAGGCTTACAATATCCTCAGCCTCCTGGTGGCTGGCTCCAGCCACAGGTTAAGATCTTGGGAGGAGAAATTGAGCCTTCCCAGGGAATAGGATTTCCAGGTCAGGCACGTGGATGGCTTCTGCAAGAAAGGTCGGAGACTGTCCTCCTGGCTGAGGTGCCTGTGCTAGAAGATGGCAGGTAAAGCCATCTTTGGGGCAGGTATAGTCAGCAGAGAGGAGACTGGCTTTGGTAGGAGCCTGGAGGGATCAGTGTTGCATGCTTAGGGGAGGTCAGCTCAGCAGCCAGAAGAGACCGAGAGCTTTATGGAGAACTTACTCTGTGTCAAACAGGCCCTGAGCTAAGCTGTGCCACTCAAGGGAAAAGGAAGCCCGTCAGGAACATCTAGGACATCTGGGGTGGCAAGATTTCTACCCCAATCTGTCCTACCTCCAATCTCCCTTTCCATCAGTCTTCTGCCCCTCAAGCCAACAAGCCGGACAGCTCCCTATTCAGTGAAAACTCTTGCCCAGTGGCTTTACCGTATAGTTCCTGTTCCCTAGAGCATACTCCCTCATCTGTACCACTTGGATCTAGGATAGTCATGAACCCATCAAACCACTTATGCCAGGAAGCCTTCCTGGACAGCCTCCCCCCAACTTGGTCCCCTCTCTTCTGCCCCCTTACCAGTCACACACACATGTACAGTAGTCTTTGTGTTGAGATCAGAAACACATCTACTCTGTAGACTCTTGTCAATTTGGGATCAGAGGCTCTCTAGTCCCTGTCATGTTTTCTAGGCCCTATATTTAGTTTGGCCATTGGGAGAGCACAGGAAGTATTGACATAAAGGATAATTTAGGTGACCTGCTAAGGAGCATGGAGGTATGCCCAGGAGGGTGGTCAGTCCTGGGCATAATGTGGGTCAGCTTTGGCAACAGACATCACAGGTTGGTAGGCAAGTCACTTTGCTTTTCTTAACCTGTTTTTCATCCATATAATGACAGGCATGGTCCTTCTCTGGCAGGAATAGTCTGAAGACCCAAAGCATGTAACCCCCTGAAGGCAAGATTTAGCATTCAGCAAGAGCATAATGAAGGAGTCTTTGCTTCCATTTCCTGCCTGGGGAACAGGAAATGCTTCTCTCTCTTCTCCTGACCCCATTGCTCTCACACTGGAGACAACCTGCTTTCAGGTTATTGAAAGTGTATTCCTCTCCTAATAAACTTTTTACTGTTACTTTTACTAAAAAAAAAAAAAAAAAAGCGTAATGAAGAGGAGACACAGAAAGACTCAAGCATCAAGCATCTCAAGCATCTACAGGACAGATCTTGTAGGAAGGCTTCCTGGAAGAAGAGGAGGGATTCCAACTCAGTATTGCAAGGTCAGCTGGGGAGGAAGACTACAGAGGCAGAGCAGGACTTGAGCCACATTGACCCAGCTGTGCCTCTACCTGGGTTCCTACCTGGGTTAGTCAAGAAGTTCCCAACCTTGGCAAGTGCCCTCCTATCATAGGAAGTCATCCCTGCCTCATGCAGCCCACTCTGACATGCCTATACTCTGCCTCCTTGGGGCTGGACTCAACAGTGCCCAAGGGCCACAGCTGGAACGCACTGCACATGTAGGCTATTGGCACTTAAAACTGCTGTGGCTTGCCCTCCAGATCTTTAGGAACATCCAGGGATGTAATGCTCCTCAAAATGCCCCTGCCTGAGCATGGCACAGATGAACCAACACCTCTAGATACAACCAGAAGAGGGCCCCACCTAAAGCATCAAGAATACTTCAGGTCAGGCATGGTGGCACACCTATCACCCTAGCAACTTGGGGGGCTGAGGTAGGAGGATCACAAAACAAATACTGAAAAAAAAAGATTTCAAAGGTTGTTGGAGTAATATGGACCCATGGTCAGTTTGGCACATTTATTCTAATGAATGGAGAAGGCTGGAGTTTAATCCTTTTGAGCAGTGCAAACTAACACATGCACATCAAAGTTAGGGCCAAGTCTGAGGGTGTAGACTGTCAGAACCTATAGGACCCCCTTGTTAGACAGAAGGTAAAGGGTTTGTAATATGGTTCAAAGTGGTAGAATGCCTACCTAGTCAGCATAAAGCCCTGAGTTCAAACCACAATAGCACCAAAAATTTAAAATAATAAAAAAATAAAATATTGACAACTAGAATTGAAAAGCTTACTTACTTTAGGATTAGGGGGTATGGCTTAAGTGGTAAGAGTACCTGCCTAGACAGAAAGAGAAATGAGGTCTAGAGAAGGGAAGAGGCTTGCCCAAGGTCAGCAAGTGGTCAGTGCAGATCAGGATATGGAGCTTTCAATCTAAAAACAGGGTTGTCAGCCTATATCTATCCCCTATGGTTTAGATTGAGGTCAGTCACAGACCTAGAACATTGCCTTTAGTGTTCCCATCCTGGCCTCTGTCAGCAGGGAAGGCAAAACCCAGTTGGATTTGCAGGGGAATCAAACCTCCTTGTGCAGCAGTGGCGGCCCTACTTAGACCTCCTTCACCATGAGGGTCATTGAACTCAGATTACTTGGCTGAGTGGGCATGCTAGTTAATAAGGTAGGCTCTGGCAGGTATTAGAGGCTTGATTCTCGGTCTCCATTTAGTGGGGGAATAAGACACATAGGAAAAACATGGTGAATACCACAAATCGTGCATAATTATAGCACATGGGTGAAACAGAGCATAAATTTGTCCAACGCTGTTAGGCCCAGGTTGTCAGGGAAGGCTCCTAGGAGGAGAGGGCCTTGAAACTGGCACAAAAGAGCAGGGAGGGCTAGGAAGGATGAATGGCTAGAGGTA